TATGAGATTTTTACCTTTGGTTTGTCGAAAAAATTGTCCTAATTTCTGCTTAATATTTAAATTTAAATAACCATTTGCGGATGTGATAATTTCAGTCACAGGCTTGCGGTGCAGAGAAGGAGTATGCAGATTTATTAACCCAGTAAAAAATAATATAGAAAAGCTTTCCGAATTAAAATTAATGCATTTTTAGCTTAGTTATGAGATTTTTAGGCATTGATATGTCTTAAAAATTGTCATATAAAATGGTGGTATTTATTTGAATTTGAGGGTATTATAGTTTCAGTCGGAAGCTTAAAACAACATGAAGGAGTCATTTCCGACCCTATAAATCATATATATACTTGATCAAAATTAAGAGGCGAATCGATCTGGTTATGTCTGGTTGAAAAAAATGTTTTGAAATTTTTTCAATTTTTCGCAAAAACGATAAGGGGTTACATCATTAAAATTGTCAAAAATGGCGAAAATTTTATATTTTAAATTGAGTAAGCAGATTGATTATCTATATAAGAACTAGCATAGGAAAGCTTTCCGAATTGAACTTAATGCATTTTTGGCTAACTTATGAGATTTTTACCCTTTTGTTTGTAGAAAAAATTGTCCTAATTTCTGGTTAATATTTAAATTTAAATAACCATTTGCGGATGTGATAATTTCAGTCACAGGCTTGCGGTGCAGAGAAGGAGTATGCAGATTTATCAACCCAGTAAAAAATAATATAGAAAAGCTTTCCGAATTAAAATTAATGCATTTTTAGTTTAGTTATGAGATTTTTAGGCTTTGATATGTCTTAAAAATTGTCAAACAATTTCTGGTTAATATTTAAATTTAAATAACCATTTGCGGATGTGATAATTTCAGTCACGAGCTTGCAGTGCAGAGAAGCAGTATGCAGATTTATCAACCCAGTAAAAAATAATATAGAAAAGCTTTCCGAATTAAAATTAATGCATTTTTGGCTAAGTTATGAGATTTTTACCTTTGGTTTGTCGAAAAAATTGTCCTAATTTCTGCTTAATATTTAAATTTAAATAACCATTTGCGGATGTGATAATTTCAGTCACAGGCTTGCAGTGCAGAGAAGGAGTATGCAGATTTATCAATCTAGTAAAACATAATATAGAAAAGCTTTCGGAATTAAAATTAATGCATTTTTAGCTTAGTTATGAGATTTTTGCGCTTTGATATGTCTTAAAAATTGTCAAACAATTTCTGGTTAATATTTAAATTTAAATAACCATTTGCGGATGTGATAATTTCAGTCACGAGCTTGCAGTGCAGAGAAGCAGTATGCAGATTTATCAACCCAGTAAAAAATAATATAGAAAAGCTTTCCGAATTAAAATTAATGCATTTTTGGCTAAGTTATGAGATTTTTACCTTTGGTTTGTCGAAGAAATTGTCCTAATTTCTGCTTAATATTTAAATTTAAATAACCATTTGCGGATGTGATAATTTCAGTCACAGGCTTGCGGTGCATAGAAGGAGTATGCAGATTTATTAACCCAGTAAAAAATAATATAGAAAAGCTTTCCGAATTAAAATTAATGCATTTTTGGCTAAGTTATGAGATTTTTACCTTTGGTTTGTCGAAAAAATTGTCCTAATTTCTGCTTAATATTTAAATTTAAATAACCATTTGCGGATGTGATAATTTCAGTCACAGGCTTGCAGTGCAGAGAAGGAGTATGCAGATTTATCAATCTAGTAAAAAATAATATAGAAAAGCTTTCCGAATTAAATTAATGCATTTTTAGCTAAGTTATGAGATTTTTACCTTTGGTTTGTCGAAAAAATTGTCCTAATTTCTGCTTAATATTTAAATTTAAATAACCATTTTCGGATGTGATAATTTCAGTCACAGGCTTGCAGTGCAGAGAAGGAGTATGCAGATTTATCAACCCAGTAAAAAATAATATAGAAAAGCTTTCCGAATTAAAATTAATGCATTTTTAGTTTAGTTATGAGATTTTTAGGCTTTGATATGTCTTAAAAATTGTCATATAAAATGGTGGTATTTATTTGAATTTGAGGGTATTATAGTTTCAGTCGGAAGCTTTTCGTAAAAACGATTAAAATTGTCAAAAATGGCGAAAATTTTATATTTTAAATTGAGTATGCAGATTGATTATCCTAATAAAAACTAGCATAGGAAAGCTTTCCGAATTGAATTTAATGCATTTTTGGCTAAGTTATGAGATTTTTACCTTTTGGTTTGTCGAAAAAATTGTCCTAATTTCTGCTTAATATTTAAATTTAAATAACCATTTGCGGATGTGATAATTTCAGTCACAGGCTTGCGGTGCAGAGAAGGAGTATGCAGATTTATTAACCCAGTAAAAAATAATATAGAAAAGCTTTCCGAATTAAATTAATGCATTTTTAGCTTAGTTATGAGATTTTTGCGCTTTGATATGTCTTAAAAATTGTCATATAAAATGGTGGTATTTATTTGAATTTGAGGGTATTATAGTTTCAGTCGAAAGCTTTTCGCAAAAACGATTAAAATTGTCAAAAATGGCGAAAATTTTATATTTTAAATTGAGTATGCAGATTGATTATCCTAATAAAAACTAGCATAGGAAAGCTTTCCGAATTGAATTTAATGCATTTTTGGCTAAGTTATGAGATTTTTATCTTTTGGTTTGTCGAAAAAATTGTCCTAATTTCTGCTTAATATTTAAATTTAAATAACCATTTGCGGATGTGATAATTTCAGTCACAGGCTTGCGGTGCAGAGAAGGAGTATGCAGATTTATCAATCTAGTAAAACATAATATAGAAAAGCTTTCGGAATTAAAATTAATGCATTTTTAGCTTAGGTATGAGATTTTTGCGCTTTGATATGTCTTAAAAATTGTCAAATAATTTCTGGTTAATATTTAAATTTAAATAACCATTTGCGGATGTGATAATTTCAGTCACAGGCTTGCGGTGCAGAGAAGGAGTATGCAGATTTATTAACCCAGTAAAAAATAATATAGAAAAGCTTTCCGAATTAAAATTAATGCATTTTTAGCTTAGTTATGAGATTTTTGCGCTTTGATATGTCTTAAAAATTGTCATATAAAATGGTGGTATTTATTTGAATTTGAGGGTATTATAGTTTCAGTCGGAAGCTTAAAACAACATAAAGGAGTCATTTCCGACCCTATAAATCATATATATTCTTGATCAAAATTAAGAGGCGAATCGATCTGGTTATGTCTGGTTGAAAAAAAATTGTTTGAAATTTTTTCAATTTTTCGCAAAAACGATAAGGGGTTACATCATTAAAATTGTCAAAAATGGCGAAAATTTTATATTTTAAATTGAGTATGCAGATTGATTATCCTAATAAAAACTAGCATAGGAAAGCTTTCCGAATTGAATTTAATGCATTTTTGGCTAAGTTATGAGATTTTTACCTTTTGGTTTGTCGAAAAAATTGTCCTAATTTCTGCTTAATATTTAAATTTAAATAACCATTTGCGGATGTGATAATTTCAGTCACAGGCTTGCGGTGCAGAGAAGGAGTATGCAGATTTATTAACCCAGTAAAAAATAATATAGAAAAGCTTTCCGAATTAAAATTAATGCATTTTTAGCGTAGTTATGAGATTTTTGCGCTTTGATATGCCTTAAAAATTGTCAAATAATTTCTGCTTAATATTTAAATTTAAATAACCATTTGCGGATGTGATAATTTCAGTCACAGGCTTGCGGTGCAGAGAAGGAGTATGCAGATTTATTAACCCAGTAAAAAATAATATAGAAAAGCTTTCCGAATTAAAATTAATGCATTTTTAGCTTAGTTATGAGATTTTTGCGCTTTGATATGTCTTAAAAATTGTCATATAAAATGGTGGTATTTATTTGAATTTGAGGGTATTATAGTTTCAGTCGAAAGCTTTTCGCAAAAACGATTAAAATTGTCAAAAATGGCGAAAATTTTATATTTTAAATTGAGTATGCAGATTGATTATCCTAATAAAAACTAGCATAGGAAAGCTTTCCGAATTGAATTTAATGCATTTTTGGCTAAGTTATGAGATTTTTATCTTTTGGTTTGTCGAAAAAATTGTCCTAATTTCTGCTTAATATTTAAATTTAAATAACCATTTGCGGATGTGATAATTTCAGTCACAGGCTTGCGGTGCAGAGAAGGAGTATGCAGATTTATCAACCCAGTAAAAAATAATATAGAAAAGCTTTCGGAATTAAAGTTAATTTATTTTAGCTTAGTTATGAGATTTTTAAGCTATGATATTTCTTAAAAATTGTCAAACAAAATTGTGGTATTTATTTAAGTTTGAGGGTATTATAGTTTCAGTCGGAAGCTTAAAACAATATGAAGGAGTCATTTCTGACCCTATAAATCATATATATTCTTGATCAGCATTAACAGCTATCCGAATTGAATTTAATACATTTTTTAGTTAGTTGTGAGATTTTTACTCTTTTGGTTTGTTAAATAACAAGTATATGATTTAAACTTAAATAACTATTTGATTTGTGCTTACAACGTAATGGAAATTACTATTACTCATTAAATCAGAAACTATTTTTGCTAGGTTCCATAATATTTTGAACTGAAAGAGATTTGTTGAGACAAAACCTGTGGCTGCCTGCGATAAGAAGCTTCAGCGGATCTCGGGGTCAGTGTGATAAGGAGCTATGTGATTACTCCGACTGATACAGAAAAAATCATCATGTTGATGTGATTGTTGGGCTGTTTTTAATTAGTGTCAAGGTTCTTCGGTTTTTATGCTACTTATGTACGTCGGCAGGCAGGAAATGTTTGCATTTTAATTAAACCTATTTAATCTTGTGTATTTTCCCAAAATAAAATTGACAAGTCGAATGTCAATGCCCGACGATAAGAACAATTATGTAGACAGTTTTTATAGAAACATAAATTTAATATACTTTAAAAACAGTCGTTTAAAATGGTCTTCAGTTGTTGTTCATTTGTGTATATCGTATCTAACAGATATCTTTAATAACCTTTTCTTGCAGGCTTCTATAACCAGATCGCCGGCCTGCAGTCCCGGAATGTGAGCGACTACATCGATGTGGTGCTGCGTCACACGGCACCTCCCAGCGAGCACCACATCTGGAAGCAATGGGCTCAACGTGAGATCTTCTCCTGGGACATGCAGTACTCGGCCAGTGTCCGCAATGTGACGCAGGGTCTGCTGGAGCTGAGTAACCTAATCCTGTACCGCGCTCCCGTCATCTTCTCCATCCGCCAGTCCTACCGATCGACACCAGTTTACCTGTACACTTTTGACTACCGCGGCGAACACCACCGCTTTGGACATCTGAATAATCCCCTGCCCTTCGGTGTGGATGCCTCACTGAGCGATGACAGCGTCTACTTGTTCCCCTACCCAGTGGAGGCCAGTCGCCTGAATCCCGTCGACAGGTCCCTGTCCCGTGCCCTGGTCACCATGTGGGTGAACTTTGCGGTTACTGGAGTGCCCAACCCGAACTCTGGAGTGTGGCCACGAGCCACGTCCGAGTATGGACCCTTCCTGCGCTTCACCAACAACCGCCAGAATATGCTTGAGCTGGATCCACACTTCGGAGAGGGCATCAACTTGCCCAATATTTACGGAGAGTACTTCAATGCCACCACCAGCAGCAGTGGATCGGTTGCACCACCGACCAGACCCTACACATATCCAACATATCCAACCTATCCCACTACTACCACCACCACCACGACCACGACCACAACTACCAGGCGTCCGTACGCGTATAATCCCTATGCCAACTGGCAGAACAGGCAACCGCAACAGACTTGGCGTCCAGCAAATCCAGACTACGTGAGAGCTCAGGAGGAGCGGCAGGCGCAGTTCATCCGGGATCAGCAGTTGCGGGCACAGCGGGAAAGGGAGCAGCGTTGGCGAGAGCAGCAGCAGCGGGATAACCAGAATCGTCGTCCAGCACAGGATCCTCGAGAGCAACAACGTCAAGAACACGAGCAACAACAACGAGAGAAGGAGCTGCAAGAACAACAGCGTCGCGAACAAATACTGCGAGCGCAACAACAACGAGAGCAATATGAACGTGAGCAGCGAGAGCGTGAGCAGCGAGAGCGAGAACGGGAGCAGCGAGAGCGAGAACAGCGAGAGCGGGAGCAGCAAGAGCGAGAACAGCAAGAGCGTGAGCAGCAAGAGCGAGAGCAACAAGAGCGAGATCAATCAGTACGCGATGAAAACCCAAATAACGAACTTGAACCCTATCCCAGCTATGATGACTATCTCCGAAATCACCAAGACCAGTCTTCTGAATCAACACCCGATCGTGGTTACGACGAGGAGCTGCAGAGACGTGAGCAGCAGGCACGGGAACAGGAGGAGCGACTCGAGGAAGAGCGCTTGCAACAGGAACGAGAGCAGCAGGAGCGGGAACAGCAGCCGGATGAAAATCCCGACGATGATCGACAATCCTATCCCAGCTACGAAGATTACCTTAAAGCGCAGCAAGGAGAAAATCCTCCAGATACGGAACCAGAGCGTAACTATAACGAGGAGCAGGACCGCGAGCAACAACTCCGTGAGCAGCATGAACGAGAGCAGCAGGAGCGTGAGCAGCAGGAGCGTGAGCAGCAGGAGCGTGAGCAGCAGGAGCGTGAGCAGCAGGAGCGTGAGCAACAGGAGCGAGAGCAGCAGGAGCGTGAACCCCAACCTGACAGTGATGATCCGCGTAACTATCCCAGCTACGATGATTATTTAAGAGCTCACCAAGCCAGGCAACCAGCCGAATCCGATTTCGATGCGGAATTACAGGATCGGGATGAGGAGCGAAGGGATCAGGTAGATCAGGAGCAAGAAGAGCCACTTGAGGAGAATCCGGAAGACTCTGAAGACCAGGAACCTTCCGATCCGGCCAACGATCCCAGCTCCTATCCAAGCTACGAGGATTACGTGCGTGCCCAGCAAAAGATGCGCGAGGAGGAGGAGGAACGTGACAGAGCCCTCGAGGCACGAGAGAGGCCGAAGAGGAGCAGGAAGAGGCCCGTCAGGAACATCCCGGATATTCACAATTCAGGAGCCTGGCCAACGGACCACAGCACATTAAGCTCATGCACAGACACCAGCGACGCAGGCATTAAATAATACCAATCCCGTCTTTTAATTTCTTTTAAAACACTCTTTTTATATTAAAATAAACACAATATGAGCTATCTGTACTAATTTTGTACCTGTCGAAGCTTTCTTCTTGAGATATATAGCACATATGTATATGATTTTGAAATTTAAATTGCATACACTTCACATGGTTATTTTTAATAATTTAATGAGCACTTTATTTCACTAAACAAACGTGGGCGATAAATACCAATATTATTTTGTGAGTTTAACCTGTGGGATAATAAGTTCTAAAATTCTAAACCTAGTTCTAAGTGGAGCTACTTAAAAAAATCGTATCTTGTTCCGGCTGGGCCGCTTCACCAGACTCTTGCGACCTTGGAGCTTCTTTATCCTGCTGGCGGATGAGGTCGCCAATGCTTTTCGACGCTTGGCCAGCGCCTGCTTCCGGCTGCGGCTGCGCAGGTAATAAATCTCACGGACCAGGCTATGGCCTTCATCCTCGTCCCGCAAGGTGGCCGAGAACTCGGTAAAGTAATTGCCTCCAATGGTCAGAGTCTCGTCGATCTTCATATAAGGACCATAGAGCGTGGTCATGGGTGGCCAGTAGCCAGAGCGATAGGAACCAAGGGGATTTCCAGTAATGACAAAGTTCGTCCAGAGATCGACCATGCGGCGAGCCATGGTCACATCCGGTGGACTAAGGCGCTTCACATGGTCAGGGTAGGGAAAAAGATAGAGAGCCTCATCGGTTAATGAGACTCCTGCCCGGAAAGGACTCTGCATATTGGTCTCCTCATCCATCTCCTTATACCGATTAAACTCGCCGGCATATTCGAAGGAGTAGAGGAAGGTGTTGTGCGGATTATGCTTGTTGTTCATATTCAGAGCCAACAGAACGGGCAGCTTGTGGTTCAAAGTGCCAGCCACCTAATGCATAAGATTTTAAAATTAATTTTAAAATCAAAATCATAGTTTTACCTTCGTTCTGAATAAAGGAATATAAAAAGCATTACTTACATCAATAAGTCTAGGGATCAGGGTATGAAAGGTGCCATTTTCCAGCAGATGACGATTGAAGAAATCATGGGTGACAAAACTGGTAAGGAGCATGGTCTTATCCGTGCCCACCACTTGGCGTATCACATGGTCGATATAGTTGTAGGTATTATACTCATCATCCGGTATCTTTCCCTCAAAATCGTTGTCCACAATCTCGTTGAGCACTCGAGTTCCAGCGTTTTTTGGGCACCCTCCCATAGCCGGATAAGAGAAGTTGGACTCCAGCATAAGGTCATAAGGATGCTTTGGCAACACACCACTAGGTCCACCAATTGTAAACTGAATGCCACCAGTGTGTCCAATTCCCAGGTCTGATTTCTCGAGCTACCAAAATAAATTGTTAGACTTTTACCGATTTATATATACAAGAACTCACGGCATGCTCCATAAAGGCGGTAAGCAACTCCATAGCCGTGAGATCCATGAGACAAGAGTTGAGATCCCGAACGGTCACCATTTGGCAATCGGCCTTCTTGGCAATCTCGTGGGCATGCTTCCGGGGATCCTCCTCCAGGAAGATGGGCATAATAGCGGATCCCGAGTGATAAATCACCTGGCTAAATAGACCGCGCTGTACCATCGGCGAGAGTGTGAGCAGGTGGGCAATGGCTGCTCCGCCTACCTGGCCAGCCACCGTAACCCGTTCGGGATCGCCGCCAAAGTTTGAGATAAAATGCTTAACAAACTGCAGTGCCAGGAAAATGTCCAGGAAGCCAGCATTGCCGGGAATCTCATCCGTTTTCGTTGACAGGAAACCAAAAGGACCGAGGCGGTACTGCGGCGTGACTAGCACAATGTCCTTCTCGAGCAGATAATCCGGTGGCGCCTCCGAGTTGCTGCCCTCGTAGAGGTACTCGCCGTGAATGTACACCAGGACAGGAAGGCGGGCAGTCACATTTGGCGTGGTAATGGTCATGGTCAAGCAGTCCTCGACGTCGAGCACATCGTCCAGTTTTCGGAGGGATTCCATTGACACCACCGAAGGACATCCGATCTTCTCTGCTGTGGCGTCCATCACATCCTCCCATGGCTCGATGGGACGTGGGGGCTGTAAAAAGTTAATTAATAATGAGAGTCAATATTTCTGATGAGGGCCATCCCATTAGGTTTATCAGTTCTTATTAATTAACAGTTTATTTTTTATGGCTTTCTTGTATATGATATGCAAATACGATGACAACTGATAGACTCTCTGAAAACCATTCGCATTTCTCTCAAAATCACGTCTCTCAGACTGAATAAATTTAAAATATAGAAATGTTTAAGTTTATTCAAATGTTTGCTGGTTTTCAGATTAGGAATGTCAGCAAGTATATTGTTTTGTCGGTTGAATGTTTTAATATTTATACTCTTTATCGTTATTATTATTTTAGTCGGAAGCTTAAAACAATATGAAGGAGTCATTTCCGACCCTATAAATAAGATATATTCTTGATCAGAATTAAGAGGCAAATCGATCTGGTTATGTCCGGCTGGAAAAATTTTTTTTTTAATTTTTTCAATTTTTCGCAAAAACGATAAGGGGTTACATCATTAAAATTGTAAAAAATGGCGAAAATTTTATATTTTAAATTGAGTATGCAGATTGATTATCCCAAGAAAAACTAGCATAGGAAAGCTTTCCGAATTGAATTTAGTACATTTTTGGCTTAGCTATGAGAATTTTAAGCTTTAATTTATCGTAAAATTTGTCATATAAAAGTGTTGAAAATATTGATTCAAAGAATGCGAATATTTTATTTAGTAAAGGGAAACTCTGTTATTTATAAATGTATATTCCAAATGTTTATAAATAAATATACGTTTTATTCCTATTTAAAACTTCAAGCGAACTTCATGGTTTTCAACATTTTTTTCTGCTTATAATTTAATTCTAATGTCTCATACTACAATCTAATAATAATCTCCGTTTTCCCATAAATTGATTGTGGACAACCTGCAGATGCGCACCTGCCCAAGAACTTAATAATTGCCACCTACTACCAAATCCTCGATAGTATAGTGGTTAGTATCCCCGCCTGTCACGCGGGAGACCGGGGTTCAATTCCCGTCGGGGAGATGTGAGGAACATTTATATTTTTTTGCCTTTTTTTCTGTTCAGAATTAAGTCTCTGTTTTGGCTTATTTATTGCCTTTGGGGAAATTTACATAATTTTGAAAGTTTTTGTGGTATGAGAAACCAGACTCCAAATAAAGTTGGACATTTCTATTTAAAATTCTTGGCGAATCTGTTATGCTAACACATTTTTGCATTTTTGCATAACAACGACCTCTATTTTTTTGCACCAAAAACATAAAGAACTTATTATAATTCACTTGTTTCAACTCCATTGTTTGGCTTTAAATTCCATACTGAAATAGTTCACTAAAGCTCAGGATACTATTCTGGGTACCTTGAAGCGATTTAGTCCCGTGGGAGGCTCTGCATATCGGACATCCACAAATTGCAGCACTTCACGCATTGTCCAGGCCGTTTCAAGGATCTTTCCCTGGATGCTGCCCAGCTTGGGCAGTTCCACGATGGTGTCCTTCTCCTCATCGTACTGCCTGTTCCGGAACCGAGACTCCACCCCGTTGTGGAGGAGTATAAGTAATATCGTAAACACGAGCTGCTGCATCTTCTGTCGGGTTCGGGATAATCGCGGATCGAACCAGCACTCTCTGTAGCGCACGGAAAGCAACTGATCTGTGGCCAGACGGAGCTAATAGATATTAGTCCGCCGTGTTGACCCGAAGTTTCACCCCATGACTGACCGAAATAGCCAAAACGGAGAGTTTGCAAAACGAAAACTGGCTAAAACAAAACGCGAAATCTACTGCAAATGATGCGGTTAGAGCCAAACACATATGCTAATAATTACACAGGGAGAAAAGAGTAGAAAAAATGTAAATATTTTAGTTTAAACAAGCTTACAACAAAATGTTATCTAGATTTAATAATTATTAAAGATTGTGTAATAAGAAAATATAATTTATTGAATTGATTTCAGCATTTGACTCGTTATAAAATATATAAAATTAAACGTTTAGAAGGCATATCATAATTTTAATAATATATATGTATATTGCTACTTTTAACAATGAATAAAAAAGGTTATTCCATTTTTCAAGCTGTTTCATTGAGTTTAAACTATTTTAAGAGATATATATAATATTATTTCTAATCAAATATTTTTTGCTCAGTGCTAGAACAGATTTCGATGCTCCGATTTCGGTTGCTTGACTGCTCCGCTGATCATTGGTAAGTAAAAGGGAAAACTACAAGAGCAGAAGATTGGACACCCGAATCTTAGCCCGGTTTGTCTGCCAGTCCGTCATTAGTCGCTCAGATTAATGCGAATATTTACCGGCAAACATTAGCCATTAACTAAGTTTGTCTTTCTCACGTTGAGGATGACGATGGCGACGATGAAAGTGCGGGTAGCATCGAAGCTGGCAATAATAATCTCGAAAAAGCTGCGGGCATTGATTTAAATTTAAAATTTTACCTAATTGATTCCGCATATTCTCCTCGCTACTGGTATTCCTACTCCCGAGGTGTATGATCCATCATCGCGAGTGGCGGGAGAGAAAGCATAGGCAACACTTCTGTGCCAAAAGAGATCAACGACTTTTACACATAATCGCACAAGATAATTCCATTATTTTTTGGCTATCTATACATTTAGACAAAATTGGGAAACCCCGCCAGGAAAGGAAACTAGAAGAAAGCGAACTTTTCCTTTTGTAGAATTCATATTAACGAGCTCAAAAGAATTGTCTTTATTATTCTTGCAAATTATTTAATTTAATTTCCTGGGAATCTTGTGGGAAAGTTTAATTAAAATTAAAATAATTTTAAGGTAATAAAATGAACAAAGAAGAAATTTTTAGCATAAGATAGCATAAGAAAAATTTGTATTCGTTTCGCTTTACTATTTCCTAAAAAGAAAGAGCATCGATATTTTCTATCTAGAAAGATATATCTTACTCAGAAGGGATTATTCAATCAATCTTGGTTACAGCTGAAATACAGCTAATGTTGATGCCAAAGTGGCAAATTAATTAAACCAAAGACCTAATGATGTGTCATGCTTTATTTAACTTCTATTATGTTCACTAATTAATTTGTATGGAAATTTGATACCTCTATTCATGGAGATTCTAAACCATGAACCGCGAAATATGATTTATGAGGCCGTGAAAGAAAGCGGTTTCTGATGAAACAAAAGAAGGCTTAACATATAATTTGTAATCTAATAATTTATAGATAATCACAAGAACATAAATGATGAAATGAATTCAGTTTTGTATAATTTACAATTAATTTTATAGAAGGTCAATGGTCGCATTTGGAGGATGTTAAGGTAAAGTATTACTAAAATATAATAATTACATTTAAGAGGACATAAAGAAACCCCTCCAAATAACACGACCCTTTACTAAATTATACATTTATTTAAGAAGTATTTGGAGAATAAATAAATTAGAGAGAGGACAGGATCATAATTTGCTTTACATTTCTATTGCTTTTGGACACGAGTTGATTCCTGGCAATAAAGACCAGGTTCTGTCCACGGCCCTCATTGGCAGCCCTTTCACCCTCCTCTTCGCTCTCATCCTGGTCTTCTTCCTCCTCTAAGGCGGCCACCTGATCCTTGTCTAGCTTGGCCTCCGCCTCCAGGGCGGATTCCAGCTCATAAAAGTCCTCGTTGACCAGGCTGTAACCATGCTTTTCCTCCTCCACGGCAATGCGATATTCATCTAGGTAATTGTCACTAAAGGTGACGGTACGACCGATACGCATATAAGGACCCGTTTCATCATTCATCGTTGGCCATTCTGGCACACCGGGAGCCCGGGGAACCCCCGTCGTGGCAAAGGATGTCCACAGGGAAACCATACGTCGGGCCATCTTAATGTCTCGGTTGGAGTTGAGGGCCAGGAACCGTGGCCAAGGGAATAGATACAGGTTGTCGTCCGTCAGCGAAGTTCCCATGTCGAAGGGCATAAAACTGGCCTCCTCAGAACTGGTGGCATAGCGATTCTGCTCTCCTCATAGTCAAAGGTGTACAGGTAAGTGCTGTTGGGCAACTTCTTGGCATTGGCCTGGAGCACCAGCAGCACGGGATTCTTCAGGGAAATGGTGCTGCAGAGCTGGAAATAATATTTAATTTAAATATGAATAAATACATATTATTTACTATAGTTACTCACATCAATTAATCCCGAAGTTAAACGCTTGAAGGTGCCATTCTTGACATCGGCTTCCGAGAAAATCTCCTCGTCGGAAAACTCTCTCCAGGAGCCAGTGGGATCAGCACCATTGGCATGCTCGATAATGGTATCAATATATTGTCTTCCCGTCATTTTGTCATCCAAAATTGTCTCATTAAATGTATCAGCAAAGATGTCTGCAAATAAGAAATTAAAGATTAATTTATATATAAAATAATAAGACATAAAATGACTAAATATAAACTTACCCCTCAACATAAAGGTTCCTCCATTCTTCACACTGCCACCCATTGTGGGATAAGCTTGGAACTTCTCGGCGGCCAGCAGGCGTCCAGGATGTTCGGGAAGGATGCCGGAAGGACCACCAATGACCAACTGCACTCCACCGTAAGCTCCGCCGGACAGGGAGGGCTGATTTTCACCATGCACGCTGAAGGCGGCCAGGAGCATCGTGGTATTCAGGCGTTCCAAACACTTATTGAGCTGATCCACCTTTCCAGGCTGCTTGCAGCCGGCGATTTTGCCAATGGCCTTGGTGGCACCCAGCGGCTTGTCCGTGATAAAGGCCGGCGACAGAGCCGTGCCCGACTGATAGATCACCCGGTGGAAGAGTCCAGCCGGAACTGCAGGACTCAGGGTGAGCACATTGACCAACGCTGCTCCACCCACTTGACCGAAAAGTGTGACCCGTTTGGGATCACCACCAAAGGAGGCAATGTGCTTCTGCAGCCACTTGAGGGCCAGGATAATATCCGTGACAGCGGCATTGCCGGGCATATCGTTGGTCAGCGTGGAGAGGAAGCCGAAGGGTCCCAGGCGATAACGGACAGAGACCAGAACCACATCGTGCTCCAGCAAATAGCCAGGAGCGGCCTCCACTGAGTCACCGTCGTAGAAGAAGTCACCATGGATGTATACCATCACCGGCATGGATTTTCCCTCCATCTGAAACGGAATCAGCGAATTTACAAGTCATATATTTATAATCAATTGTAAATTTATAATCTTTAATTAATATTATGTGCAAATAAATAAATAAATTGCAACAAAAAGCATTTAACATACCGCCTTTGTGTTTATGGTTAGCCGCAGGCAGTCCTCCACATCGTAGCCTTCCTCCTCCAGTTTGGAGAACATGAGCAGATCCTGGATAGATGGACATCCGGCGTGAGGACGATGGGCGGGTAAAGAGCCCCTCCAAGCTGGTGCGGGTTCAGCTGGCTGTGGAAAAATAGTGTTTAATTCTTTAACCAGTTAAAATTTATTAAAGTTAGAAAAAAGAAAGAAATCGAACTCCGTAAAGCCTAATTTCGTATACCCTTGCAGTTTACAATTTAATCAGGATTTTGGAATTTTTAATAGTTCATAACTAAGCAAAAAATGCATTAAATTTAATTTTTCAAAAATTTATAATTTTTCCTACATCCCTAGAAAGATTCGCCCTTTGATGCTGATCAAGAATTTATGTGATTTATAGGGTCGGAAATGACTCCTTCACTGCGTTGGAAGCTTCCGATTAAATATGAAGCATTAGGGAATTTAATTATTTTAATTTTATTCTCCTATGCATTATTTCCTTGTGACTAAAATTAAAGAGCTATAATATACTATATAAATATAAATATATTATACTATATTATTATATTATATTATATATTACTATTTGCTGAAATATATAATTTCTCTAATTCGAGCCGAATGAACGCACCTACTTGCATTTGACGCCCGTCGGACAACATCCTCGATAGTATAGTGGTTAGTATCCCCGCCTGTCACGCGGGAGACCGGGGTTCAATTCCCCGTCGGGGAGATGTGTAAGCAATATTTTTTATTTTACATATTGCATTTTTTAGCTTTTCTTTTCTTAATGAGTTCAAGGATGTTTGTATTCATGCTTGCCATAACGTTCTAAAATTCCAACGTATAATATTAAAATACTACCTGCATTTTGTCCTATATTTATACTATATACTATGTTTATTTATATTAAAACAAATAGAATAAATTTACATATTGACTTGATTTTCAGAAAAATAAAAGTTTAAAAAAGATTAATCCTACATCTCCCCGACGGGGAATTGAACCCCGGTCTCCCGCGTGACAGGCGGGATACTAACCACATACTATCGAGATGGACAGACGATTCTCGACCAAAAATGTAAGGTATAAAAAAAAAAAAAAAAAAAAAAAAAAAAAAAAAAATTAACTCCCCACAATAACCCTACTATCGAGGATGTTAGCAGATGAGTGTCAAATGCGGGGTAACAGAGTCATGCATTTGATTTTTGATATTTACTCAGAATAAAAGTATCTTCGTTAGACTTAAATATAAATAAACCAAATATATACTGGTAAGACAAACTTACCTTAAATCGATCAGCTTTGCCGTAGGGAATATCGAGGAATTGCATAATCTTTTGACCAGTCCAATCCGTGCTCAAGGTGCGACCGCGAAGCTTGCCCAATTCGGGAACGGAAACGGTGAATACCGTAGGCTCCTGGACATTCTGCATTTGCTGCTTGTTGGGCTTCTGCTTCTGCTTTTGGCCCTGCTGGGGCCTGGGTCGCTTGTTCTTGTGGTGACCCATGTTACCCTGGACATCGCCTGGTGCTGGCCGCTGTTTCTTCTGCTTGTTCTGGTTCTTCTGCGCCTGGCTGCTGGCCGCAAAGAGGGCCAGAAGGACGATGGCCAGGAGCACAAGAGCTCCACTAATCCTTGCCATTCTCTTAATACACTGAACTTCAGGTGCGAAGCTGTTAAACGATGGAATCGAACTGTGGTCTAGTCCAAATGTCTGGCCACCAAGAAGACTTTCTCGAACCCTCCAGTGGCTCTTGACCGGGCACGAGTTCTATTTCGGATTATGGTAAATGGGGTCAAGACAGCACTCTGTCCGAATCTTCCTCTTAACTTGAGCGCCACTTTTCGCGATCCCGACAAATATGAATATTCAATGACAGCCATCTAAATGCGAACTTATGCGAAATTTAGCCGCAGGTGAGATTATGTTATGCTGCTCTTGGCATGAAAGTAAAAGAGAGCTAGGCGGCACAACCAGTTCTAGAGTTGACCTCTGTCTGGTTTTCTCCCAATTAGTGGGATCCGTAGGATCCCTTTTTTTCTGATAAATTGCTATAAGTCAAAATAATTTAAATTAAGGTAAGCGATACATTACAATTGCTTTAGATAACTATGTCATAATAACTAAAATAATAAGATTAAAACTCGTTTATATTACATTTCTTTCAAACATCTTCTTATATATTTGCATAAAGCCATATCTAATACAACTTTGACAGATTTCAGTAGACTTTTAAATGGTACTCGCAGTCGTAGCTAAAGATTTTTCTTAACTGGTGATACATTTTGCAATCTGCTTAAATGTTTATTTGTATTTTTTATTGTTGTCATTAAGTCAGACTGCCAGAGATCTAGAGATACACATTTTCTCTGAACGGATTGCAAAGATTGCATTATTCTGCGCTATTTTTAGTCAAACTTTTTGACAGATTTAAGCATTTAGTCAGGAGATAGATATAAATATTTGTACGTTAGCATGATGTTTTCGAGGGCTTTCACTCCTTGGTAGTTGCGTGTGTTACATTCGTTAAATCTTTATTAATAAATTAATGTAGTATGTAGTAGGCATCATGTAAAATTAGATTAAAATGCATTATAGACTACACCTAGTTCATAAACGCACAAACAATTGCATTGAAATGCAGAAGTATTCTAAAGCGATCTTAATGTTTTGTTATGGAGAGAACATCTGCTGAAGATCGATAGCTCCGTTCCGCAAGCCGTATGTGGGCGCAGATGGGAACAGCTGGCCAGGTGATTCACCGTCAACATCGCTTAAATGTAGTACAGGCGCACAACCGATTTGGTGATGAGTGTCTCGTTGTCGTAGAAACTGGTTTGGATCGTCACATTGCCGTTAAGACCTTGGCGGGCATCATCTGGGACTCGGGCGCCGCCTCAATGGTCGACTGCCAGGTGTTGGTTGTGTTGGCTCCCACGAAGCCCATTTCAAAGAACCACTCCTCCATGATGCGTCCCTTGAACAGTACCTTCTGGTCGAGCCGGAAATTCTCCATCGGCTCGATGGTGCTGAAGTTGATCTCCCGCGACACAGCTCTCATGTCCAGTATCTTCACCGGCACACGCGCCTCGTGCTCCAGATCCGGTGCCGAGAAGTCCTTGTTCTCCTGCCATATCACCTTGCCGCTGTCGGCGTCCCGCAGTATCATGTAGTTGATCTGGAATCCCTTCTGAATCCTGTCACCGGCGCTCTGATCGTCGGAGCCCATCGCTGCAGCTGAATGTTGGTGAATCTGGAGCACAACCAGGTGAGAACCGCCTACGCGTTTACGTATACTAAGCGGAGCAGAAAATCAATTATGTTTATTTTTAATCCTAATGCCAGCCATCAGCTGTGCAGAAAATAGTGTGCCCGCCGAATCCTCACTTGGCGTTGCCACACTTCCGAACTCGTTCCATAATCGATAGTTGTGAAACTATCGATACCAGCGAATTTCCGCTCTGCCAGCACTAATTCACCAAAAGAAAACATTCCCAATAACTAGAAATTAGCCACAATAAGCCATGATTATATATGGCGTTTATATAGTCAGCAAATCGGGTGGCCTTATATTCAACCTGGACAACAATGTGCCTCGCATTGAGCACGAGAAGACATTCACATACCCGCTGGACCTGGTGCTGGACTACGATTCCAAGAAGGTTTCGGTGTCGTTCAACCGCAAGGATGGCATAAATGGTGGGTGTCTTGGTTTCAATGTTGTCTATTGACTAATAAACATCACGACTTGCAGTTGGCCACGTCCTGGTGGCGGTCAACGGCATAGCCGTCACGGGCGTAACCCTGGACGATGGACGCGATGTGAAGACGACGCTGGAGGCGCCGAGAACTATCCCATCAACCTGAAGTTCAGCCGGCCGAAGATGACCACCAACGAGAAGATCTTCCTGGCCAGCATGTTCTATCCCCTGTTCGCCATTGCCAGCCAGCTGAGTCCGGAGCCAAAGAGCTCTGGCATTGAGCTGCTGGAGGCGGATACGTTCACGCTGCACTGCTTCCAAACGCTCACTGGCATCAAGTTTATTGTGATCTCGGAGACGGGACTGAATGGTATAGACCTGCTGCTGCGCAAGGTTTACGAGCTGTACTCCGACTATGTCCTCAAGAACCCATTTTACTCCCTGGAGATGCCCATCCGGTGCGAGTTGTTCGACAACAAGCTCCAGGAGCTGCTCGCTCAGGTGGAGAAGACGGGAATTAGCAATATTGATAAATAAATAAAGGTTTAAGTAGTCTTTGTACAATGTTATTGAGGTGTTTTCTTTGTGCTGTGGGTTTCTTTATATTCATTTATGGTATTATAAATATAAGTTTACGATGTGTAGGAACATTTCCGACCCTATAAGTCATATATACTCTTGATCAGCATTAACAGGCTAATCAATATGGCTATGTTTGAGTATGCAGGTTATATAAGCTTTCCGAATTAAATTAAACTAATTTTTGGCTTAGTTATTGTTAGTTTAAACTTTGATTTTCTTACAAAAATAGTACCGATTTAAAGAATAAAGGCCAAAATGCAAATGATTGCAAAAACTCGCCTATATTCGATTCGCCATTAAATTGTTTTGAAATTAAAAACAAATATGCATATATTTTAAATGATAAAAATCTTAGATCAACAATTAGAAGCATAATTTTTGGATAGGCACAATAAACTTCCATCATGTTGAGCTCCGATCTTAAACCGATGCACAGCTGTGGCTACATCGTTCACGGTTAACTTATACACTACTTTTTTTAAGAACACGATTTTCACTACACTTCTTTTACTTTCCAATAACCAAAGAATAACAAACACACTTCCACATTATACCGTTCCTTATTTTTGTATAGATTTTCGTTTTTTATTCATTCAGCCATCTTAGAATAGTTTGTTGTATTTTATACATACTCATATAAAAATAGTTCTTTGTTTAACACTAAATATAATTTGTATATTACACTTTCAGCGCATAATCTAGACAACACCCTAACCTAAAACAATATATTGCATGGCCTATATATGTATGCTTTGTGACCCATGCACAAGGATAAAATAACCAAATAACCAACAAACTCAGTACATGCTAGATGGTGTATAATATATATATGCAGTATATATATATAGGTGTATATAATAAACTTCTTGAGCGAAATATGACTCCAAAAATAGATTCAACTGCGTTAAACATTTTAAAAATTAAGCAACAATTTCCAAGATACCTACTTAACGACTAATAAAAAGTATCAAAAATGTTCAAGGCATAACAATTAAGTAAGTTCTTCATTTTCCATCTCTCTACAGCAAGAGCGGGGCCTGTATCTCTGTGTAAGGGGTGTGTGTGTGTGTATGTGTGGTGTGTGTCTTCTTTGAGCATAGTCCTATTGCAAACTGCCTATTGCACCAATTGGTAACCATTCAGTAACCAGTCTCGGGCTCCTGCTTTAACGTCATGCGACAGGGTTCTGAAATACCAAAGAAAAGACAGAGATGATATTTTTTTAATATATAAATCTTTCTTGGAAACTCACCCATTCCATAGCCAGTGGGAGCTGTTAGCAACTCCGGCGCTCGGATTTTGAGCGGAGTGCGTCGCAGCATCTCCTCGGCACTGCTGCCCTCGCTCCGGTTGTACTCATTGAGCGTTATGTCGGCGGGATTCCGCAACACCAGGCCGCCAACACCGCTGGTCGCATCGACTGGCGATGCGACCGGTCTTTGGTAGGGATGCATCCGTTGGGGACTGTGATGGGACCGACTGCCATTGTAGTGCTTACGGGTCCATCCATGTAGGATCCATCCTGCTGCTGGTGACTCGCATGTTGCTGTTGATGCTGATGCTGTTGCTGTTGTTGTTGTTGCTGTTGCGACTTGGGGCTGTTGAGCGGGGGCGAGATCGCAGCCGGAGCCACGGATGTGGGTGCAGAGGCGGAGGAGGAAGACGAGATAGCGGCAGCTACCGCAGCTACTGCTGTGCCAGCTGTATAAGCCCGAAACGAATCCTCTGCGCTATTCGCCTCTATCAAGGCCTGGATGTGCTGAACCTCTAGGTCCAAGCCATGCGGTCCACTGCCACCCGCCGAGACCAGCGGATCGAGGGAGGAGTTCACCTGACTGCCGCCACCATCCATGTTTCCTGTGTGGGTGGGACTTTGGTAGTCGTTGGACTGATTCGGTGGCGACAAAGGCAAAGGATTGTCAGCCAACTCCCCTGCAAAATTCGGATATAAAAATGAATTATATATTTAATAAGTTTAAATGTTAATTATATGCTTGAACCCACCTCCCAAAAGCATCTCCTGAAGCAGCGAGTCGATATGTGCCACGCCAAAGATCTTGGCAAACTGAATCTGTTCGATCATCTGCCAGGTGATGGACTGCAGAACGGGCAGGATAGCAGGATCTCGCCGAAGCGACCGCGTGACTCGTACTGCCGATCGGATATGTAGTCCTCGAGATTATTGAGTATCTGGTGACGCAGCGACTTGATGCGATGCGGCTCATTTAAGCCCTTGGCATCTGTAAATTATTTAAATTACGAAACATTAATTAAAGATATCGCTAAGATTATGAACTCTGCGTAAACTCACTGGGATCGAAAAAGACCAGGCCTTGATGCAGGCAAATTCGGTATCATCGATGCCCACATCCTTCATGACCACCACAAGTTCGTCAATGATGCGGGCGCCTATCCGAGAGATGTCCAAATTGGGTGACACAAGGGGATCTACAAAAGATAACTTCTCATTGATCTCCAAATCCAGATGTTAAAGTATGTAGCTAACCCACCTGGACAATGTCTAGTGATCACACAATTGTTGCTCAGCAGCAGGACATCCTTAAGGTGCATCGATCGACGTGACAGACCGAGCAGCAGGTGCTCACCGGCATGGGCACGCAACAGGGCCACTTGGTCATCCAGCTGCAACTCGTTAAAGGCCGGAATCTGCTTGGCCCACTCAACCAGGGTCAATAGCTGTTGCTTCATCGACTCGCAGACATCATTAATGCTGGCAAACTGCTTTGTGGAAAGATCCTCGTTGATGTTAGGCTCCATGGCAGCGCCGGCCTTAGACTGGCGCGATTCGTTCTCGGCCTTGACCAGCGAGATCACGGAGAGACCATTGCCCGGGTCCGGATCATCGTTGGAGGTGCGTCGACAGCTGATCCGATCCCGTTCGTTCTGGACCGCTTCCTTCTTCATGCCCGCCTTGAAGCACTTCCTTAGCCGGCAATAGCGACACTGGTTCCGCTTATCTTTGTCCACCACACAGTTGCGGGAGAATCTGGTAAAGGAAGATCGTTTAATCGACTTAAGTAAGAAATGGTTATTAATTAATGCCCACCTGCACGTGTACTGGTGATTCTTCCTCACACTGCGCCTAAAGAATCCCTTGCAGCCGTCGCAACTGGAGGCTCCATAGTGCTTCCCTGTTGCTCGATCTCCGCAGATGGCACACACCGTCGGTGACTGTTGCTGCTGCTGCTGTTGTTGCTGTTGCAGCTGCTGTTGACTGCTGCCACCACTTCCGCTTCCACTATGGTTATGATTCGGCGAGAACATGCTATTGTTGTTGGTGCTGCCGCTGCTGGCGCTTCCGCCTCCTGCACTACCCGCATTGCCACCTCCGTTTCCATTGCAGAGCGCAAAATTCTCGCTGCTCTGGTTGCTGCTGTTGCTCAGACCGAGGACAACGCCATTGGGACTAAGAGCATGTCCGATGGGACTGTGGGCTGAGAGGCAGCGGATATCCAGCGGCCAAGGCATCGGCGTGCATTATGTGGCTTTCAGACTCTGCAAGGAGAAAGGGTATAAAGAAGTTAGTTTTGGGTTCATTCAGGATATAATTTCATTTAATTTTACTATTTATTTTGTACCAATTTTATTAAAATAAGCCTTACAGAAACCAAAGAAAATGAAATTTCAAATGTGCCGCTTTTAAATAATGTTTGAAAGCACTGGAAAAGTTCCCAATACATCTCAAGAGTCAATAAATTCCGTTGTATTATTTCCACTATAATATTTGTAAACACCATTAAGTAGGACTATAAAATATATAAATATATAATCAATTTAGTTATTGTTCTTTGTTACTCATTCGACAAACGTGTCGTTAAATATATGTCGTGTCATGCTTAGATCAACAGTTTGGCAACCGCAGGGGCTGGCACACATGAACACAGTTTTAGAACCACACTGCGCCTACGCGAATTCTTCGGAACAGTTTTGAATTTACTGGTGGCAAGAGTTTGGCTGCACAGCATTTAATATCACGTATACGTAAAACTTTTTAGGAATTTATTTGCATTTAAAATAGTAGCAATGCAGTTTAATACAAGTTTCCCTGTTTTAATTATAATTATATAAAAAAATGGTGTTTTTAAAAACGAATTTAATTTTCCTTAGTGCACTTAATTTGATCACTACTTTTTAACCCCAACTGTGCCATATACGCTGCATGTGTAATTTATTTGTTGACCTGCGTGTTGCCTATCGTAGAAATGGTAATATTGCGAAAAAAAAATGTTTTTTTAAAAATCGCGTAATAGCAACAAACACAAAAATGAGCAAAAGCTAAAATATTAACAACGACAACAACAACAAACAGACCGTCACTTGAGGCCGTGTGGCTGGCGCTGCTGTCGCGTCTGCGTCGTCGTCGTCCCTCAGCCGCTGACTCCACCGCCTTGGCTGCTGCAACTGCGACGGAGACCCGCCCACCGCCCACTTTGCCACGCAACAGAATATCACCAACGGCGGGGCGATCACCATCGCGATCGCGACTAGAAATTTTAACTCTACCGGACTTGCGCACCATTATAATGCAACTGATTACTGAAAGAAACACACACGACTCGAAAATATATTCAGTCGTATCGTATGTTGTCTTTGCCGCTCACCACTCTGTCTGTCGCTCTGCTTGCCGCCAGCGCACAGTGGAGACTTTGGAGCAAATTCTTGAAGTATGTCACCTGCGATAAGCTATATATGTAATAGTACATAAAGGGTAGAATTTTTATTACCAAGTGTTTTTATAAGTTGAAAAATTATCTATAAGCTACTATTTAAACTACTCGATTATATTACTTGGTTAATTTAATCATTTTTAAAACGAAAACCCCAAAAAGGCCCCACTATGCATTGCAAGTGTATGCGTTAATCGACGCTTAAATCAATTCAACTGTGTTTGCATATCTCACACACACACACACACACACACACAGCGATTTCCTCTCCCAGAGAGTGAGAGAGCCCAAGTTTAAAACCAGACTTGGAGCTCTCTCCCCACCAATACACAAGGAAATTAAACACAAGCAGAGATAGAAATTAGTTTTGGACGAAAAAAAAGAACAACAACATGGAGAGTAAAGTCACACGAATAAACAAATAAATAAAAAATGTGTAGAAAAAAAGCCGGCTTTAATTTGGACATCGTTATGAGGCAGCCGGAGAGTGTGCGTGTGTGTGTGCGAGTGTGTAAAAATAACATAACAGAAAATCAGTTGGGGAGACCGGAGAAAGAGAAAGAGAAAGAGAGAAACTAGAAATACTAGTAACACGAATATAGAAGAGGAAGAGGCGGTAAATAGTAGTTGCCTTTAATAAAAAACAATCAAAATACCCGCACAGTGGAAGTGATTTTTTATTACCTAAATATGTACATATGTATATGAGTATTTTTAGTTAAACAAAGAATATAAGTTGTTTTGTAGAATAGTATCTGGTTTTATAATTAAAAGTGTTTTATTATTATTATTTTAGGTATTTGTGTATTTTTTTACAATACTTTTTACACTAACTGATTATCCCCATATCATGATGCTTTATACAATTTTTCTTACAACTTCCCGTTAAAACTACAAATTCACTGATATAATTAACACTAACTAACTTTACAAATACTACATTATTTCAAAGCAAACACATTTTTCATCACTATAACTATTATTTTGAATCTCCCTGCGAATCAGCTTTGCTTAATAGATTTGTAAACATTTACCGTCTTAATAGACTTTTCATAAGTGCACTCGAAGGGGTTAATTGGATTGCTTGCTCACAGATTCCCAGACAATTAATCACGGCCCTTCGACACCTGATATTCTCTTAAAGCTTGAAAATTTTATTCGAAATAAGAGCAAGTACTCGAAATAAGTAAAGTTTAAACAAAACCAAGAATTTAAAGACGATATTTTTTATATAGTTTCAAAATCTCAGAGCTTAGCTAAAAAAGCATTAATTTTAGTTCTGAAAGCTATCCTATGTTAGTTTGTGAGTTGGGTTAACAAATCTGCATAGACTATTTAAATTAATTTTTTTTTTTTTAACGATGTAACCAATATCTTTTTTAGGGAAAAATTAAAAAAATGTCAAAAAAATTTATTTTTCAACCGGACATAGTTATAACGACTTTCCTGTTGATGCTGATTAAAAATATATATGATAATTAGGATCGGTTTCCTTCATGAGTTACAAGCTTCTGACTGAAATTAAAATACCCCTAAATGGGTATAATAACACCCTAGTTTATACGACAAAAGTTCTAATAAACAAAGAATGTGAATGCGTGTACTTTTAGTTTTTTTATCACAGCTAATGCTCATGTTTTACCAGCTCACTGAACACAAAATAAACAGAAACAACCCAACCCAAAAAAAAGAAGGAAATAATAATAATAAAAAAGGGTAAATAAAAGCATAACACTCGTTTTGCTATCATTTCGGATATATAAAACTTTCTCATAGCCGCATCGCTCTCTCTTTCGCACACTATGGCTGGGGTGTTTGTTGTGGGGGAAACAGGCCCCGGTGTAAGTTTTTTTTTATTTTTTAGCCAAGTCATCGTTAGAGTTCAGCTTTTTTAACGCCGCGTCATCGTTAGCATTGCAAAAAACGTTGTTCCTGCTGCTGCCATCGATGCCCCCTCTGAAGTGGGCACAAATCGCAATCTGAGATTAGAAAATATCGGATTCTCGGACGATTCGGTGAAATAATAATTTGGCGGATTTCTTATGCGTATTTGCCGCAAATAGTTTATGACCGTTGATAAAAACAAGAGCAAGAGCAGAAAAACACACGTTTACGATGTGTCCAGAGATAAGAAAACAACGGAACAAGTGCCGCACCTGAGGGTATCAAAGAATCATTATATACATATGTATATAAAAGAGGTATGTATAATGTTTATTTTTATCTATTCATATTTTTAAATGGGAATGTGAGTGCAGGGGCTTTTTAGCTTAATTTGGCCAATTTATTTGCCAACACCACAAACAAAATCAATAAAGCTAACGGCCAGCGGGCGACGAGCCCCCCAAAAAAAAGTATAAATAAATAAATAGATCTGGAGAAAAGATGTTAATTAATGTGTGGATGGATGCTCTTTTCATCTCTTCACTTTGTGGAATATACATTTTAATTTGCATAAATAAACAAAGCTAATTTGGTAAAACCGAAAATATTAGTAATGTTAGCAGCTGTTTTCTTAAATATGGTTAATTGTGACATTAACAATCTTAGCGAAGATTGGAAACACCCTATGAATAGAGTAAAATATTATTTAGGCATGTGAACAGAATTTTGAATATATATTATAAATATATCTTTTGGATGAGAACTTTGCTCGATCTACGCAAAACGGATGTATTTTTAGATACAATATTTTTGTTTACCCAACCTGATATATAATTTTTTTAAAGCATTATATAAACTCAAACAGAAACAAATATTGAAATAAAATGCTGGCATAGATTTCTTCTGAAAATTATTAATTTAAGAGAATTCTTTATTATTAACATTTTTAATTATTTTTATCAACATGACGGCTTTTGTGTTTAAATTTACACACACCTGGTGTGTGTTTATTCGGTATTAGTCAACCATTAGTCACAAAATATAATAAAATTTTGATAAGAATTGAAGCATTTCCATCCAAAAAGAATTCAAATTGCTTCAACAAAATAACCTTCTTCGATCTTTATGAGAGATTTACAAGCTATAGCTTTATCTCAACAATTCCTAACAATATCCATAAATTAAGACTGGTCAGCTTTTATAAGAAAATGTGATAAGTAAACATAAATGTTCTCAATTACATTACCATTATTACGACGCCTTGATCGAGAATATATAGTTAAAGGGGTCAGTGTATAAAAATAGCTTTAATAATCCATAATCATATCATGTTTTTTTTCCTCTTATTTGTTTTGGGTTGAGCTCGGATTAAGGAAGTCACAGCAAAATCTAGAAAATCTTGAATTATATTTGTACACGTATACAGATTGTACGAGCAGAGAGAGAGAGAGAGAGCAATTTAGCTAAGACCTTAATTATTGTTTTAGTTTAATCGGCGTTGCAAACGACTGGCATTAGCCTACAAACATATGTATGTAATTTGAAAACCCCTTTCCCCTTTCCCCTTGCCGTTTACAATCCCAATCGAGCTTCAATACAGACTCTTATCGCCCGGCACAGAGAGAGACTCAATAACGTGCCTAATGGCGAGTACGAGCGAGCTGATAGCACACACGGCGTATGATCAATTTTTGTTTTAAATCGGCAAACTCAGTGAAAACATACGAAATCGAAACCGAATCCGAAACAATAGCCTGTACATACGTTGTCCACATGCGACAAGAGCAATTAGCAAAAAAAAATACAAGCACAAAAACAAAATACAATTGAAGGTAGAGGAAAATAAAAAATGAATCAGCGAGATATCAGTTATTGTTACTCCCATTTCCAGTAGTTATCAAAGTAAAGGGTATATTGCATTCGTGTATAATACATAGAAATGAAACAAGGAAACATTTAAAACATAATACAAATCGTAAGTATGTAAGTATTCTGATCAGGATAAGCAGTTCAGTAGATTTCAGAGATCAGTAAATACAACATTGTAGGAATAAGGTCTCTAATTAATTAGGAATATTTTTAAATGTACTACAAACAGTATATATACATTTTATTAAAATAACCGTAAGAAAATAATAAATATCCCAATTCTGATGCACAATGTAAAAATTTTTACCTGCCTTTTTATATACTGTTAGTTTCGCCATTGATATAGCATTTCAGCCTCAAGAATTGTTTAAATTTAAATGGCAAGTCACAGGTCAAGCTCAATAAATATGCGTAAGACGGACGTCGCAAAATACTGTCTAATTGCCAGGTGGAAATGTTGATTCGTAAGCAAATCCTACAAATATGCATATATAGCATTACATATATAATGTTATCAGTGATTCGCGCAGCTGCATGCACCCACCCACCCACGATCTGACCTCATGGCACCGCCCAGAAATGATGCAACTGTGAAGGTCGCCATTTCCTTCCCTTCCAGATAATAATCATTCGGGGTGCTGGAGGTTCCTTGAACCCCACAAGGCTTTAGTTATGGCGCAGCTTAATTGCTTTCGTAATTTCAGGAAAAGATCTACGAAAGTGTCTTTGGCTCCTCCTGCCAATTCAGTTAATGATCTTGAACCTGCCACCAAGTGGTTGTATTTAATATTCGTTAAAAGCAATTAAATTTAATTTTGTACAAACAAATTTCCACAAATACATTTGGTAAGTACTTGTGGCAGCCGAAAAAAAACCTATTTTATGATTGCATCATCGGGATAATTAAAAGGGGGAAATCTAGGAGTTAAGCAAACACTTGTGGTGGGAAATATCTGTGAAATCACTGCAAATATTGGCCCCAAATCAATCAGACCACAAGCAAACGTTGAGCTCATCTCCAGGAATGATCTTTATAGAATGTCATTCGCACTCTATTGCCAATATTGTGGGGCAATTCCATCTATATTCCATCATCATCATTATCAGCATC